ACTGAATTTGCAGCGAGGTAGGCCCCTTATTTATGGTCGCCCACGCGCACTCGGCCAGCGCTATTATGAGTCCGAGCACGGTGGGCGTCTATTGTTCTCTCGGCCGCCTCGCTCGCCTATTGTTTGCCTAGTCGCTCTATTAGTCGCCCGTATTGTGACTCGCTCCTGCGTTCCCACGCCAAATTAAAGACCACGAGGACCAATCTTTATTTACAAACACATAATATTTACAAATTTACTTATATTTAAGTTTGTATGCTAACTATTTTTTAACATACTGTCTATCACGGACATTCTCTATTATAACTATTTATTCTCTATTTTATGTTAACTTATTTTTAACATAACTATTTATTACGGACATTTCTATTATTTTACAGCCAACCTATGTCTATATTCTCTATTTTAACTATTTATCTATTAAACTATCAATGTCCGTCGCGAACAATATCTATTAAGCTGCATTTATTTATGTCCGTCGCGAACATCCTCCCGCCGTGCAGCGTCGTTCACGTCGCTGCATCCTCCTTGGTGAGCGGCGGACATCGTGGGCAGCACGATGATCTTCTTTGCCGGGCGTCGCAGGATACCGCCGGCGGTGCGCACGTCGACCACTCGTGTGATGCCGTCGGCCCCCGGGTAAACCTCCTGGATGATCCCTCGTGGCCAGGTGTTCCGTGGGAGCGTTCCGTCTGCTATTATCACGACGTCGCCTATCTTCAGGGCGGGCCCGCGGCTGCGGGGCTCCCGCCGGTTCTGCAGGTCGGGCAGGTACTCCCGGAGCCAGCGACTCCAGAACACATCTGCCAGACGTTGAGCTGCGCGCCAGTGTGCGCGCCCTATGAGGTCGGCGTCGTCAAACTTGCCCGGCACGGGGACTCGCGCCGGGCCTCCCAGCAGGAAGTGGTTTGGCGTTAGAGGGTCGGGATCGTCGGCGCTCACCGATACGTGATCGAGAGGTCGGCTGTTCACTGTGAACTCTGCCTCTGCTAACAGAGTGTGAAATATTTCGGGCGTCGGGTGCCTCGGCTGCTCCGTGGCCGAGAGCGCGGCCTTTACTGCCCGTACCATTCTTTCCCAGGCGCCGCCCATGAAAGGCGCGCCCGGTGGGATGAAGCGCCATTGGATAAGTCTTAAGCTCGCTTCATGCTCGGTCGCCTTGTCCAAAGCTTGGCGCAGCTCCTTGTCGGCCCCTCGTAAGTTGGTGCCGTTGTCGCTCCATATTTCCGTCGGAGGTCCCCGGCGCGCGATCATGCGCCGGAGTGCCATCACCGCTGAGTCAGTGCTGAGGCTCGCTGCCGGTTCTAAGTGTACCGCACGCGTAGTGAGACATGTGAAGATGGCCACGTAGTGCTTCTGGGTGCTTCTGCCGGTGGTAACTTGATACGGTCCGAAGTAATCGAGGCCCGCGTATGTGAATGGTCGCCGATGGTGTGCCAGTCTGCTCGGTGGGTGGTCGCCTGTGGCTGGACGCGGTGGAGTGTCCTTGCGGATACGACACGGGAGACAATTGTGGATTACGCTCCGTGTCACTGGGCGTAGGCGTAAGACCCAGTACGACTGTCGGCACTCGGCGATCGTAGCTTCGGTTCCGGCGTGGTGCATCTTTCTATGGATGAAGTCTATCATCAGTCTCGTTTCGCGTCGGGATCCGTCTAGCACGAGAGGCGAGGTGATGACGTTAGCTCCCTCAATCTTGCCGATGCGTCCGTTTATTCTTAATATGCCGTCCGCGTAAGTTACGGACAAGTTTCGCAGTCGGCTTGCTGGGGATACTTGTTTCCCTCGTTGAAGCGCCAAAATCTCTTCCTCGAAGGCTGCCCGCTGGCTCTGACGCCAAATGAGCATCTCGGCTCGCCGAAGCGTGTCGGCGTCTAAAGTCTTCCATTGAATGACTGCTTGCTCTGGCGTCCGCGGTGTGTTCAGCGGGGTCTTCGAAGTCGTCTTCTTTCTATTTCTCTCCCACGTCGGGTCCGAGCGCGGGTTCCGTCTGGTCCTCTTGTAATAAGTGCGCTCGCGACTTCTGCGGCATAGGTCGACGAATTGCAGTATTCGCCCCGTTGCACGCAGGTACTTCTCCCACTTGGAAAAGCGTCTTGGGTCCGGGATCGCTTCGCCGAGGCTCTCTCTGCTCACGGCGAGCGTTGCGCACTTCTCTTCGCCCGTCTCTTCTGCCCTTTTTGCAGTCCGTTGTACGGGCCAATCATCCGGATGCCGTCTCAGGTATTCCGGGCCTATGAACCAGCGGTGGTGGCTAATCCATTGATTGATTATGCTACGATCAATAATCCAAACAGCAGTATTAAATTTTTAGCGCCTGAACGAACAAGTTCGTTTTATATTTTGTGATTGCTGATAAATGTACACAGGCGTTTGTAATGCTGTGATCATGGTTCATAAATTTTTTTTATTGCCTTTGTGGACAGTCGAGCATACCGCCCACCTGATGGTAAGTGATCACCGTCGCTCATGGACGTCAGCAATGCTAATATTTGTCAAGCAGTTACGAATACAAATGGTGCGATTATTGTTAGGATTGACTAACACACTATGGCTATATTTAGACAATATTTTACTATAGGCATCTTGGCTTCGTTTCCCTGGTGTAGTTGATGTGCAGGCAAAAGCAATGGTAAACTTCAAATGTATATTTTTGCTTTAGATACGTAAACGGAGTTACAAAATTTACGAGTAGGTAAAGTCATGTTCTCGGTCTTTAGCAATACTTTTAAATTGATTTCGCTAAAACCACCACTACCATCAATAGCAAACACTAGAACTAAAATTCTCTACATTCTTCATTGGCGCGCTCACAGGGCTCAGTCTCAGAGGCTTTACTAACATCTCCTCTAGCAAGAGAAGTGCTTCGTTGAATCTACAGCCGTATCGGAATCGCGACCCACCGAAAAGATCCGGCGAGAAACTCAGTAGCCTGTGTCTGTGGTATACGAGATTAATTATACGTACAAATTAAACTTCATGTTTTTCTTTTATTTTCGTACGTAATTTATGTCATGATTGTATAACCGTATTATGTAATCTTATATAGGTAGGTACGAAATTCGGAACGTTCACCTCTAAAGATTCTTTTTTTTTTAATTTATTGTGCAACGGAACGTTATAAAACGGCCAATTCAATTTGAGGCTGTATGAATCGATTTGGTTCTAGTACAAGTCCAATCTTCGGTGTGTTTGATTGCAATAATTTATGACTGACTCGGTGTTGTAACAGTTAGCACTCCTGACTGCTACGCCGAGGGTCGTGGGTTCAGTTCCTACATCGGGTAAACATTGTCTAATGAACATTTAAATATGAGTATGTTTATCAGGATCTGATAACCATAACGCCTAGAATCTTAAATTGGGACCAGATGCGTGATTTGTTCCCAGTAAAAATCTAATAGGTATAACAGAACGACATTCAAAAGTAGTTATTTTACCTTAGATTAACGATTAGTCAGATAAAGTATTGGAAATTCAAATTTAGTTAGACTTGAATTATTTTTATTATACACAAGATACTCTTTCTTTCATTGTACAAAATCCCAACAATGAATCGGTTTAGCCTTTCGTAATTTTTATGTTTAACTGTTCACTATAATTCATGTTATTTAACATGATTTTTATTGCTTATATGGGTGGCCGAGCTCACAGCTCACCTGGTGTTAAGTGGTTACTGGAGCCCATAGACATCTACACGTTATAACGTAAATGCCGTCACCCACCTTGAGATATGAGTTCTAAGGTCTCAGTATAGTTATAACTGCTGCCCCACCCTTCAAGTAACCTTCACCCTAGTAATTACGCAAATTATAATTTTGCGAGTTTGATTTTTATTGCACGGTGTTATTCCTACACCGTGGAAGTCAATCGTGAATATTTGTTAAGTACGTATTTCATTAGAAAAATTGGTACCCGCCTGCGGGATTCGAACACCGATGCATCGCTAAATACGAATGCACCGGACGTTTTATCCTTTGAGCCACGACGACTTTGAAACTACTTCGTCTTTCGATACTTCTTTATAATATTTAGAATTCCTAAGTTAAGACGGTCTAAAATCATATTTACTTAGATTGAGCGAGGAACTCAATCTAAGTAGCGCCACAAGCTATTAAGCCTTGAGAATATTTTTTGGTCCACTCTACAATTTACAAAAAAAACTCTTCGCCAACTAACCTAATCTCTACATAATAATATTATGTCATACAAAACTAACTTCGTAAATATTCTTATGAGCCTTTTAAGTTATTATCGGCGGTTTTGCTCTCAGTTGGGCAACATGAATACCATGCACGAGGAATAACGTCAAAAAATCAACGCACAATCGTTTTGCGCTTAAACCAGACTGGATATTGGTAGAGACCAGACCAGTGATAAAGAACAGCAATTATACGATGTTACTCCCTCATTTAATTTCCTCGTTGTTCTAATAATTGTACCGTTGAATGAGTATGTCATGATCATCATCAGCCTATCCATTTCAATAAAGCGGCACGACACGAGAGCCCTCTCATCGTGGCCGCCGGTAACTACATTCCCGATCCTGCGGAAAGAATGGAAAGCAGTCGACGTCGCCCAAAACTAGTTATTTCTGATCCTCCCGATCCACTAACGGTGCTTTTAGGTACCCCAAGCACCGGTCATCGTTCTCGTCAAACCCGTCGCTTGCGACGAAGGACTCGAGTAAATTAACCCACAGACACAGCCCACTGAGTTTCTCGCCGGATCTTCTCAGTGGGTCGCGATTTCGATCCGGTGGTAGATTCTGCAAAGCACGGCTCTTGTTAGGGTTCGTGTTAGCAACATCGTCAGTTTAGAGCCCCGTGAGCTCACCTACTCGCCCGGTGACCCTGATATGGTCTCAAGACCATCAGCTTAGGTAGGAAAAAAATCAGTCTATAGCAGTCCACTGCTGGAAATAGCCCTCTCCAATTGTACGCCACTAAGCACGATCTTCGGCTTCTCTCATCCAGGTCTTGCCAGCCACCCTGCATAGACCGTCACTCCACCGAACCTGAGGGCGTTCTGCCCTACGTTTGAGTTTATATTAAGTAATAACAGGGATCTGGAAGTCCGTCCAAATTTATTCTTTATGGAATTCATAACCGCTAATTAGTTTTTGGGTTTTCATTTACGCCCTACCACTAATACGATACACTGTTCGACACAGCACCATATTATGTTTTATCGCGTAGGTAAAGATTAGCTAAAACATTTTCATTCTTATGTAGCTTTATTTAGCCAAAACTGCTTCGAAAAAAATATCTCCGTGACTGAGGTAAGTATTAGTATTAGTATCGTCTGGAAAACTACTGGGCCAAAGGGCCAGAGAACCTAAAGATGAACCCACATTAAATAATGTTTTACGTAAAATATTTATTCGACATTGAAATGCTTACGTAACGTCAATTTGTTTAACCCAGTAAACAGAACCTGTACATACCACCAATGGATAATGAAAGACTTTTAGTCTGCTTGTTTTGTGTTATGGATCTTAATTGCGAATATTGAACGTGATAATTGCAAAATTATTTTTGGGTAAAACGAATTCATATGTTCAGTGCTCAGAATGTACAAAGCTGAGTTCTGTGGTAACACTGTCATCCGTCTTTAGGACGGATCTAAAATATTTGAAATTGGTATTAACGCGATTCAGGTCCTCGTGAAATAGCTTCTATCTCGAGTATGATGGTATGGCTCCAACACCATTAACCATCGTTTGAAATGCGACATGTTGTAGCGCTGTAGGAACACAGTGGCTGGGAGTCCATTCCAGAGCTTGATAGTACGAAGCAGAAATAAAATTATTTATAAGGCTCCTTTACACTCATTTTTCGTTTATTGGTTAAGACCAAGTATGTCCTACGTAAATACAAACATACTTAATGAATACCTACCTTATTCAAGATGAGTACATTACGTGAATTACTGTCGTCTAATACTTATCACGTTACAGTTATCACGATAATAGCTCCAGTTGAGAAACGGCTAGCCGGTTCAAGACGTAACACATGCACTGATAAATTAGAACCGTACAGTCGGTTGTTTGGATTCGGAAAGTAACCTTTACCTGTTCTTTAAAGCCGATTATTCCTCGTTTACAATGTGATACTTAGGACGTTCCTTTGATCAAACATAACACATTGTTTCACGCTTCGAGCTCTTGTGGAATAACCGGAAAAGCCGTTGTATAAAAATAACAGGTATTAACAATAACTTTTGAAGCAGGGTGATGGTATACATTTGGTGCTCACTACCCACTGCCATGAAGCAGTTATGTGTTTCGGTTTGAAAGCTGAGACCTTAGAACTCATATCTCGAGGTGGATGACGGCATTTACGTTGTAGATGTCTATGGGTTCCAGTAATCACTTAACACCGGGTAGGCTGTGAGCTGATCCACACATCTAAGCAATAAAAAACAAAAAATACAACATACTCGTATATTATCGACATTATTAAAAGTCAGTAAATAAACACTGCAAATAGACTCGATTTATTAATGAATCAGTAGCTTTGTAATTAATCATATAGATAAAAAACCTAGAAAAAAAAGTTGATACGTTTTTAATGTATTGTTTTCTTCCAGCGCGATTGCTTCGACGATTTACAGATGACTCGCGTGTGACGCAATAATGTGTAGTATTAGGCTAATTATTGCAACGTTCAATCATAGGGTTTTTTTATTGATCTTTTATATCTATAATGATATGGAATATTCTAAAATTGGTTAAACAATAATAAAAGACTTAGGTAATTGTACGTTCATTGGGTTTTTTATTGATCCTTTATCTATATATTAATACCTGAAGCAAAAACTTTGTGTCCCTTTTTACGAAAATTGCGCAGACGGAGGAGTATGAAATTTTCCACACTTATAGAGAATATAGAGAAGAAGTGCACAATGCTAATATTTTTTAAAAATAATGCATAAAAGATACATTAAATCAATAAAGAAAACATTACACACACTACATACCATGTATTTGACGCACACACGCATGCATACTATTTATTGTCAAACTTTTGTTCTTGACGTCTGTGGTCAATTNTGACTTTATAATAAGCTTTATTGCACAGATGTTCTTTAATAGTTTTCTTAAACCTATGTATATGTAGGTTCTGAACATCTTGTGGGATTTTGTTGTACAGGCGCACAGACAAACACCCGAATGAATTTCGTATCTTATGTAACCTACTCATCGGCACAACAAGCTTGTGTTTGTTCCTAGTATTTCTATTATGTATGTCCGACTGCGAAGCGGTCCTACTACCAGTAAAAACTACCAAAACAACTAACTACTACTAATTTGGTGCTAACTACCCACTGCCATGAAGCAGTTATGTGTTTCGGTTTGAAAGCTGAGACCTTAGAACTCATATCTCGAGGTGGATGACGGCATTTACGTTGTAGATGTCTATGGGCTCCAATAATCAATTAACACCGGGTAGGCTGTGAGCTCGTCCACACATCTAAGCAATAAAAAACAAAAAATACAACATACTCGTATATTATCGACATTGTTAAAAGTCAGTAAATAAACACTGCAAATAGACTCAATCTATTAATGAATCAGCAGCTTTGTAATTAATTATATAGATAAAAAACCTATAAAAAAAAGTTGATACGTTTTTAATGTATTGTTTTCTTCCAGCGCGATTGCTTCGACGATTTACAGATGACTCGCGTGTGACGCAATAATGTGTAGTATTAGGCTAATTATTGCAACGTTCAATCATAGGGTTTTTTTATTGATCTTTTATATCTATAATTATATGGGACATTCTAAAAGCGGTTAAACAATAATAAAAGACTTAGGTAATTGTACGTTCAATCATGGGGTTTTTTATTGATCCTTTATATCTATAATTATATGTGTGCTTAGTGCGAGTTTCTTAACGTTCTCGATAGCGTAAAAGTTAACCCAATTTTGTATGCAGTTGGAACAGCGCCCCTAGCGGCAAACATACGCAAACGATCCCATTCCATACAAATTTGAGTTAACTTTTACGCTATCGAGAACGTTAAAAAACTCGCACTAAGCACAATGGAATATTTTCAAAGTGGTTAAACAATAATAAAAGACAAGAAAAAAACAACATTTAAAGACTTTGTTTTCCACAAATTACTTTATACAGTATTCTTGAATTAAATAAAACTGAACTAGTCTTTTTTTTTCAATCACAGAGAGTTCAGTCAATCTATATAAGAAAAAAACTTTTTAAAAAAAAACTAAAAAGGTTTTATCTTAGAGTATACATAAACAGGGTTTTATATAAAAATTACATAAAAAAAGTTTTTTCTTTACATGTCAAGTTGGTTTCGTCGTGTAAGTTGAATTTGGTGTATGATAAGAACACCTGAATTTCGTTACAAAGGAACTTAATTATTGCGAAATGAATTCATATTAATGCAAAATGAATTCATATTATTTTTGCATTTTCGCGGTCGGTTTGTATGCACTCTGCGCTTGGACATACGTCGCGTATTTACGGTGACTATGAAGCGTGACGAATTGCACGAAGCGGAAACTTCTTTAAAAATTGCTGTTAATTAAGCAAGATTCTACTAGCTCGTCCTGAGCGCGGGTTTTTAACTAGACATTTAGCGCAGACTAGAAAATTCCTTTTTAAAACCTATTCTGTTTAAAGAATACTGATGTTAGTATTCTAAAAAGTAAAAACATAGGGAATTAAATTTATAATTGTAATAATAATAACTAAGGTCACCAATGGTCATCCGCCCCCAAATTACGATTCCCTGTACTATGGGGAAGCAGAGACTCAAATGCATACTTATAAACATTAATTAATTATTATAATAAAATAAAAATTAATTATAATATACCTACATATATAAATAAAAATTAATTATAATATACCTACATGTGGGATGGTAAGGAGACAATAAAATATTTTTTTCTTACACTATTTTTAATTCAAATTTATTAAAATTTATTTTCTATTATTTAGTTGGGTTTTCTATAAAAGCGTATTATGCTAGTCTTTTTAAACTATTATTTATTTTTCATTTTTTAGTTGAATTTAAAAAATTTAAATTCCTTTTTTTTTTTTTTTTTATATTAAATTTTCATCGGTCCATAATATGTATACCAAATTTCGAGTTAATCCGACGTTTTAAAGGGGGTCAAAATCATATTCAAAGATTCCGTTACATACTAACATTCGTACGTCTGAAGTTAATAAAAGCCTATTAAAAATAGCAATCATCCCACATACATTTATTAAAGACAATGAGCGCCCAGATAAAGAGCAAAAAAAGCCGTTCATCTCACGAATCTGGGAATCGAACCCACGAGCCCCACGACCGACGGCGCAAGTCGCAACTTTTAGAGGCGCTAATCCTCTAACTAACTAATAACTACTCCACCGATTTTGTCAATTGCTGAAATAATAATAGCTACTTAGTATCATCTTAATGATACACACATGCAAATCAACAATTTGCATTTGTAAGATAATCTTGAAATTCTCTTTAGCGCGAAACACGTTTATGCCTGTTTTTTTAAAATTCTAGTGCAAAACAAACATTTTCTTTTTATTGAACGCTAAATTATCTGCCAGTCATTTTTTTTTTGTAATGGGTTGATTTGGCACGGAATATGACCTTTTTGCATGTTAGGAGTTCACTAACCGTCACCGTCAATAGTCGTCGTTCTGGCTTAAGCCTTCTCCGCCAATAAATAGGATTGAGAATTGCACAGCAGGATAGAAATTAATCCCTCGCTAACGTATCAAATTAATAAGATTTCGAAACGAATACGTCCAGAAGATGTTGAAGTATCTAGTGATAATGAGAATTACAGAGAAAATTTAAAAAGAATAAGATGTTATTTTAAAATCATGGAGCATCTTTCATGATATCACTACTAAATTTGGGTAATTCATGTAGGTATAATTAGTGGGAATTGGCTTATACTTCAGAAGGAGCTGAAGATAAATATTTTAGAAACCATGACATGCGATAGTTTTCATAGTCGTATGCATAAATTTTTTTTTTGTTTTTTCCCTGCCTTATAGCTGGTAGTCTAAGGTTCTATTCCAGCTACGCTTATAAGATGCTTACTGTGTAATACTTTACTTGACTTTCAGAATTAATTCCAATTACTCAAAGGAAAGCCTAGTTAATGGATGACTTTCTTAACACGTTTGTTTATCCTTAGCCCATTACGCGAATTAGCATTATGGTAAATATTGTTTTCAATATTCAATGTATGACGACCAGCATTTGACGTAGTTGACGAATCATTTTTCTAATAAATTATTTTATTACATGCAACCAATCAATATAATATATCTGCAAGTATAATATTCAAATATAAGTCAAAAGACTAATAAACATTTTTACTTCAATTTTTGATTATTTTCATCTTACAATGCCTGACGATAATTAAGTCGCCATACATAAAAAAAAAGTGTTCGAAACTTCAGAAAATTGAAATAACTAAAAAGGAAGGCAATAAAACTGTGTTATTAAGGACAAGTTTTTACTTCTATATCAAATTAAGTATTATAATATTTAACATCATTAAAACACTTTGTTAATATTAAAGATTAATGAACAGAACGGTGGTCAGATATGCACCTCTTTCGAATAAATCGTATCCAACCAAATAAACCAAAAGTAGTTGCCGCGTGGAAAATCAAGGTGAGCGGTCGAACGCCGCCTCGCGAACACAATGATATTAAAACAAGCGAGCGCATTCTCGTTACAAACTTACACCGGAGCGGATTATTCGCAGGCTGGAAAATCAAAATAAAATTAAAAACGTAAATGACGTTGCCTACACAAAATAACAAAAAAAAGTGTACATTAATTGTGGCTTCGGACATTTGAATTTGGAATCTCGATTCGCGCGCTTTTCAAATTCAGCTTTACTTTTGTGTGTTTAAAAATCGAACTGTACTTTTTTTTTCATTAACACCGGGATACACCGAAGTTTGGTTTAAAAAAAATGACAATTTACAGTAAAATTGTTCAGATCATATTGGTCAGTGTGTGATGAATATCGTGAAGGATTTCGAGTTTGAAGGTAAGTCACCAAGCATGTGAAATATACAAAAAAAAAATACGATTTTTTATTTATTTTTTTCTTTTTCGTAAGTTTTACAAAAACTAAATGTAAAATAAATACAATACAGGATAGAATTATAGGTATGTTTGGCGGATCCAGCCTCCTCGATCTGTTGGTACCACATCATCTGAAGTAGTAATATTACTATTGTCCGATGGTCGAGAGAATGCGATCGATTTAAGATTAAATGAGACCCTGAATTGTAATAGTAATTTTATGTAGACACAGATATATTTTACACTAGATGGGACTTTTAAAGCGGGTGTAACAATAATGCAGTTCTATTAGCTGTTGAACGAAGACACAAAGGGAATCATTTGTCAAAAGATTATCATGTATATTCACTATTTGTATTAGTGTTTACAAGACACTACACACGTACGTATTAAAAACGACGAGTATTTAAGACTTCTTTTAGGACTAAGAGTTACCTACTATTGTTCGGTCACTGACACAACGCGATGGAATTTAAGCATAGTGCCAAATTCAAATATATAATGTATTTTAGTATCGATAAGGCAGACAATAAAACCTTTTTTACACATCATCATATTTTATATCATCAATAACAAAGGTCAAATTGTTTCAAAAGGTACAATCTACAAGTATCTACAGCATGTCAACTTTATAACAAGAATATCGTATTAAGGTGTGAGCGAATCCGCTAGCTTAAGCTATATCTGGAGCAACCGATAATATCTCTTCCTAGTCTGTGGTACCTGTTTATAAACCCGTTTTTGTAGGTAGCTACGGTACTTCACTTGACCAACTCACGACATAGATTACTCAGATATAACAATTTACTGAGACAGGTAGAAAGGAAAATAGTTACTTAAATAAATGGAAACGTATTATGTCAGTCTTGCTTTTTTTTTTAAATTGATGGGTGAACGAACTCACGGCCGTAGACCATAGACAACAGAACGAAAGCATTCGTCCTTCTGGAGAGATAAGGTCAAACTATCATTTGTAATATAGAATAGCTGGCCTACATTCCAAATCGCAACGCATGATTGCTTCGTTGCAAATTTAAACTTTTTTTATTGCTTAGATGGGTGGACGAGCTCACGGACCACCTGGTGCTAAGTGGTTACCGGAGCCCATAGCAATCTACAACGTAAATGCCGCCACCCACCTTAAGATATGAGTTCTAAGGTCTCAGTATAGTTACAGCGGCGCCACCCTTCGAACCGAAACGCATTACTGCTTCACGCCAGAAATAGGCAGGGTGTTAGTACCTACCCATGCGGACTCACAAGAGGTCCTACCACCAGTAATTACGCAAATTATAATTTTGCGGGTTTTTATTACACGATGTTGTTCCTTCACCGTGGAAGTCAATCGTGAACATTCGTTAAGTACGTATTTCATTAGAAAAATTGGTACCAGCCGACGGGATTCGAACACCGGTGCATCGCTAAATCCGAATGTACTGGACGTCTTATCCTTTAGGCCACGACGACTTCAAAACTGATTCAGTGCTGTAGTTAACGGCACGGGCTGTTGCGCCTAGGGTCGTAGGTTTTATTCCCACATGGGACAAACAGGTTTATTTGCTCTTTGTCTGGGTGTTTATTATCTTGTAGATATTAAAAGCATTAACAGCCTGGTATCCATAACACAGGGAACCCTCTAAATTGGAGCCGGACGGTTATTGCCAGTTATTTATTATTATTATTATAGTCAGGGTGGTGGCATCTGTACTGAGCCTACATTAAGCCCCAACTGCCAGTAATAACACACATTTATAGTTAAATTTTTATTACACGATGACTTTCACCGTGCAAGTTATTCGTGAACAAATATTATGTAAATAATTATTTTAAGTTAACACGAGGACGAATCTCTATCTCTTGAAGTATGTCTGCTCTACCCTACTATATTCAATGTGACTTTCCGGTCACCGTCCTTGTCGAACCCATCGCTTGCGACGAAAGGCTCTACGAGCGAATTAACTCACAGACACAGCCCACTGAGTCTCTCGCCGGATCTTCTCAGTGGGTCGCGTTTCCGATCCGGTGGTAGATTCCGCGAAGCACGGCTCTTGCTAGGGCCAGTGTTAGCAACACTCCGGTTTGAGCCCTGTGAGCTCACCTATACGTTAGGGTTAAGCTGATATAGCCTGTCAAGGGTATCAGCACAGGTAGGAGTAAAAAAACAAAAGTGCCCTTATTTTTATAACTGTAATAAATAGATCGATTGTTCTAGGTAAACTGTAGGTATAAAAAACAAGTTTATGAAATTACATATAATTATCTACCTTATATATTAATACGTGAAGCATAAACTTTGTATCCCTTTTTACGAAAATTGCGCAGACGGAGGAGTATGAAATTTTCCACACTTATAGAGAATATAGAGAAGAAGTGCACAATGCTAATATTTTTTTAAAATAATGCACAAAAGATACATTAAATCAATAAAGAAAACATTACACACACTACATACCATGTATTTGACGCACATACGCATGCATACTATTTATTTATTGTCAAACTTTTGTTCTTGACGTCTGTTGTCAAATTGAGAATAGATTAAATATTGTTTGTCTTTATTAATTTTTTTTTATAGTGCAGCCCTGTCGAAATTTGTGATTATAAAAGTATAAACTACAATCATAATAGTGTACAAACTTACAATTCCAATTAATTATAGTCGAATTTCGACTACTGCGGGACCTCTAGTTATTATAAATATGCGTACGAACAAAGTTGCTATTTTAATGGATTCTATAAAAACAATGATGCGTTTCAGTTTGAAGGGCCGGGCAGCTGTTGTACTGTTAAAAGTTAGACCTTGCAACTCATGTCTCAAGGTGGGTGACGGCATTTACGTTGTAAATGTCTATGGGCTCCGGTAACCACTTAACATCAGGTGGACCGAAGGCTCGTCCAGCCATCGAAGCAATAAAAAATATTTTTTTTTTTCGGAGCATGACGGAACGTCACTAGTAAGTAAATCAATAAATAGTAATTTTGAAGTCGTCGTGGCCTAACGGATAAGACGTCCGGTGCATTCATGTTGAGCGATGCGCCGGTGTTCGAATCTCAGGCGGGTACCAATTTTTCTAATGAAATATGTACTCAACAAATGTTCACGATTGACTTCCACGGTGAAGGAATAACATCGTGTAATAAAAATGAAACCCGCAAAATTATAATTTGCGTAATTACTGGTGGTAGGACCTCTTGTAAGTCCGCGCGGATAGGTAGCACCACCCTGTCTATTTCTGCCGTGAAGCAGTGATGCGTTTCGGTTTGAAGGGTGGGGCAGCCATTGTAACTATACTGAGACCTTAGAACTTATATCTCAAGGTGTGTGGCGCATTTACTTTGTAGATGTCTATAGGTATCCAGTAACCACTTAACACCAGGTGGGCTGTGAGCTCGTCCACACATCTAGGCAATAAAAAAAAAACAACACATACAAAATTATTTAACGAAGCGCAAACATTGATTGATATTTTTGTTCAAAGAATGACGTCACTGACCGACACAAGCAAAAAAACTAAACAAGAAATCTGGCCAAGTCAGGCCGAGGCGCACCACCTTTGACTATAGTGATTCGGAAACTTTAATGTGTTGCAGTTTTTGTGACAGCAAAAACTTAAGTTGGAAAAAACGATTTTTATTCCGCTAGATGATGTCAGCAAACCATAATTATCTATACTACATTCTATAGTCATTCTATATTCATTAGACAGTGGCCTTTTAAAGTAAAAAAAATTGAAAAGAAAAATGAACAACGCATGTCCTTCGGGTTTTAAGTTTTTTTTTTTTTATTTCCTTCTCCCTCTTATCGAACCTCAATATGCTGACGCGATCGTTATCCGGGTTTTTTCGTTTACCATTATGAAAGGAGCTTAATCCGGGTGATAACCTATCTTTTTTTTTTATTTCATCAAAATTCATTCTACCATTTTCGTAGTTGACCATCGAACGTAAAACTGTTACATTTATCCATACTTATCACAAAGGATAAGTGTCAATATGAAAAAACAGTTTTGTCCCTAAATAGAGAGCATAAAGTTTTAGAGGCCATTATCGAAACATCGCTATTACAAGAGGTCGCATTATTTGAGTATTCGCAGAATCTTCGTAGCTGAATTTACATATTCCCAATTACTTACGTATAATCCGAACTTAGTAAATAAAATCCCAAACCTCAACAATACGACAATAATTTGAAAGGGGAAGCAATGAACGTGTTTATTCTTTCTTTTTTTTTCTACTTAAGCTGATAGCCTTGAGAGGCTATTTCAGCGTAACCTTAACTAGTAGGTGAGCTCACGGGGCTCAAACCTGACGACGTTGCTAACACGAAACCTAACAAGAGGCGTGCTTCGCAGAATCTACCACCGGATCGGAACCACGACCCACTGAGAAGATCCGGCGAGAAACTCAGTGGGCTGTTGTCTGTGGGTTAATTTAGTCGTCGAACCCTTCGTCGAACGATGACCGGTTCTTGAGGTACCTAAAAGAACCGTTAGTGGATCGAGAGGACGTTTATTCGTTATTATATTATTATTACGTGTTTTTTCCCCCTATCTATTCTCCAGTAGCTTACGAGCTCAACCTAAAATAATTTGCTAACACTAGCCCTAGCAAGAGCGGTGCTTCGCTGAATCTACCACCGGATCGGAACCGCGACCCACTGAGAAGATCCGGCGAGAAACTCAATGGGCTGTGTCATTATGTGGCTAATGACAACATTGTCACCGATTGGCACGTTCACAATCTTGAACCACAAAATACAAGCACTCGAATTCATTGTCACGAATGAACACATTGTTACAATCTCAAATCGAACTGCATTCAATATCTACAAGTAGTATGAGGCTCAAGGTAATAAACAAGTACCAACAGGTTTTTATAAAATCGTAAGGTTTTTATAAAGGTAGGTAATCGAACATTGGAACTGAGATTATATATATAAAGTACTTTATGTTTTTCAGAATT